TTAACGACGAGGTGGCCAAGTTTGCTGGCTTATGACACCAAACAGTTTTATGCAGTTAAAACAAAAGAGCTCCAGGCAGAATTCGGAGAACAAGGCATCGCAGCGAAGTGCCATGTAAGCAGCTGTGCAGAATTCACTTCCTCAAGGTGTGACGGCCACCAATTTGGATGACTTTGAAAGGGGGCTAGACATACTGATGGAGGAGAAGGCTATCCATGGCTCCGCTCAGTTGCTGGGGAACATGGGCAGCCGATGCTGACACACACCATGTCGTGGGCTTCCCGTGGGCCGCTGGGTGACCACTGTGTGAACAGAATGATGGACTAGCTAAGTTCTTAGCCCTCCCTGCCCACTGAATGCCATCACTCACTCTTGGACATTCCCAGCGGAATCCAGGGGCAGGAACCTGGATGTGTTGCCTGGCCTTCCAGATAATGAAAGGGTGAAATGGAAGCAAGAGGAGGGATGTGCTGGCCCCCCTGGGCCCCTGCTCTGACGTCTGCCTGTTGCTTCGGTTCCTTTTAAAGCCAGGGCAGCTGTTTGGAGCCGGCAGTGCGGCCAGGACTCACTCCTGTATGGAGGAGCTTCCGTCTCAGCCGCAGGGCTCTGCTCTAGGGGGTGGGGGGTTGTATGAAGCCAGGAGAGGGCAAGGAGGACTTGGGGTGGCCAGAGGACCTTACCGGCTCCCTGCACAATCATTCTCTGTTGCACCTGGGTCTCTGCACTTTGGTTGCCAGGGTTTGCGTTGTCTTCTGGGCAGACCTGAGTCGTGGCTGCCCGGTTGTGTTGCCATTTCCGGGAGAGGGGGACCCCGGGGCTGGCTCCATATCGGGTTCGTGTGTCCTGGGGGGAGAGGTGGCCCTCCTGCTGAAGGGGGGAGTGCCCTGTGGAGAGGACAGGATGGGAGACACGTGGGGTCGCTTAGGAGCGCACCGGCTCTTAAGCAGCAGGTGGAGGAGGGTGAGGGGCAACTCGGCCCCGAAGATGCACCTGGGCAGTTTTGAAGGGCAAGAGGCTGGGTGTTGGTGCTGGTGCAGAAAGGGAGCTGGAAGGCGGGCAGAGGGGTTGGGGAAGGGGAGCGCCGGTCTGGGTGAGGGCAGAGAGGAAGGAGGTTGGAGGGAGAGGCGAGGAAGGTGGAGGTGTGGTGGAGGAATGGAAGTGTGTATCACCGATGAGGTCGGAGGTGGCCAGAGCGTGGGCCACTGTCTGAGCTGAAGGGCTTCAGCTGCTGCTGAAACAGTAAGGGCAGTGGCCTTCACGGATGTCATCAGTAATGAGTAAAAATGGCATCAGCACCACTTGGTTAGCATTTTAGACACCGAACGAGTCCAAGGACAGCAAGTCCAAGGCCCTGGTTTTGGGTGAGGTTCTCTGTCCCTTTTACCCGTGTCCTGAATTAGCTGCATGCTGGCTGATTTGCCGTTCATATAGGGTTGGGCGAAGACATGGCATTCTTCCTCCATTAAGCCATAAAATTGGTGGCTTTTTTATGAAGGTTGACCGTTGTTAATGCTGATCTGAATTTAAGACTGCGGGGGAATTTCTCCACTGTGTCTCGATAAAAGGATTCAGCGAAAGAGAGCCCGTCTGGTGTAGTGCTTAGAGTGTCGGGTTGGGAATTGGGCCATCCTGGGTCCAGTCCGCACTCTGCCAAGCAGCTCACTGGGCCAGACACTGCCTTTCAGCCTACTCTACAGGGTTGTTATGAGGATAAACAGGAGAGGAGAGTCATGTAGGTTGCTTTCATCTCCTTGGAGGAAAAACAAGTCATACATGTAATAAATAATTTCAGGAACAATGCCTGTGTCCTGGGCACTTGGGCATGAGAGTTAAAAATGAAGCATCCGTGTTCAAGGACAGGAAACCTGTGAGTACCAGATCCAGACAAACGGAGTCTGGCTTGCTTGCCCCCTTCAGTTCAGGGCTGGTTTAGCTGCCTAACAAAAGGAGGCTTGATGGACTGTTGCGCTGACCCAGCGTAAAAATGTTCAAGCGCACACGTTCGCTGTTGAATTATCTGAAAGCAGGACAAAAATGTGAATAGGTGAGGCTAGCACTCGCTGCTTCAAAAGAGCAAATGGCAGAAGAAGCGTCAAAAGATCAGGAACAAGGAGGCAAGAAGTGCAAAGCTCCAATTCAGTTTGCAAGATGTGGCCGAGGGTGGGTTTTTAATTTTTTTTTGGTGGATTTTAGAGCAACAAGAGCTTTGAATAGGGCCATTGTGCACGAAAGCACAGTTGTGTGTGTGCTGACGGGGACTTGTCCACTGCCTGCCTAGTATGATGTGCAGATGTTGGTCTGTTTAAAGCAGACAGATCGGTGGCCGCCCTTGGGAAGCCCTCTCTGGGTCAGCGAGGCGGTTGCTCCAGCTGCAGCCCATGTGGCTTTCCGCTGGTGGGGTGCGGTGCTTTTTCGCTCCCTCCTTTTGTCCCCGGGTGGAAGATGGAGGATGCTAGTGGGCATCACCCAGTCAAGGAGCTTCAGGCTCTGGCTTGGCTCAGGCTCAAAGGCTGTTTTTAATTTTCCCTTAGTAGGGTTCTTGTCGGCTGTCGATCTCGCCCTGGTACTTTGCTTCGGATTCTAATTAGTGGAAAAACAGGAGTCGGGGTACTGGCTTCCAGTACTTGTGCCTTTGGCACAGCTTGCCTGTGGATCCCCAGTGTGCAGCAGGAGCGCTGGACGGCAGGCCCGTGGCCCGAACCTGCCCCCCCCGCCCCCGCCGGGTTCTCCAGAGGACCATGCCCCCTTCCTCAGGCCTCACCCCGTTCCTCTGACTGCCAGTTATTCGGTGGCTTCCCAGGCTCTGCACAGCTTTTTCCTTGTTCAGGAAGGTTGGAATTAATCTTTTGCGGTTTAGCTGCTGGCAGAAAGAGCTCTAAGGGAGAATATACGGGGGTTTGGGGGCCACTTCTGTTAGCTTTGAACAGCACCTTCCTCTAGAATGCAGAGCCCAGGAGTTGCTCTGAAATGGAATCTGGCCCTTGGGCTGAAAGTGAAATTGGCCCCTGATGAGGGGAATGGGGGCGGGGGGGGGGGGCCTTGCCAGCGCCCTGCCCAGCCTTCCCCAGCCCGGGTTTGCCAGATGTGGCATTCAGCATCTCCCATAATCCTCCCCCTCTGCGTGCCCCGAAACATGCAAAGAGGCGTCTAGGCCAGATGTTGTATTGCTGATGGGTTGGAGGGGGTTTATCTCCTTGAGAAAGCTCCTGCCCTGGAAGGTGGCTTAGAAAAGTTAAATAAATGGAGAGAATTTATCGTACTCGATACGGCCATTTCTCCATCTAGTCCAGTTTCAACTCCTCTGACTAGTGGCAGCTGTCCAGGGTCTCAGACAGAAGGCCTTCCCATTACCTCATCACGAGAGCATCAGCACAGCTTGTGGCTGGATCAGGCCAAAGGCCGGTTTCCATCGGAGACCAACCAGATGTCTCCGGAAAGTCTTCCCTCTGCACTGGCGCTCTGCTCCGTGGACTCGCCCCGTCCCCTTTTCAAGCCATGGAAGCTCTCGGTCATCACGGCGTCCCGGGGAAGCAGATTCCGCAGCCTCGCTCTGCTGAGCCTTCCGCCGCGGAGCCATGGCTGCTCGTCCTGTGAGGGTCCTTTGGGCTGCTTCTGCCTGGCCCAAGGCTCGGCATGGGTGGCTGGCCAGTCGGCTGGCCGGCCAAGGGAGGCCCTGCCACTGACTTCTGTGCCTGCCGGAGGCCCCTGGGGAAGGTCGCTGGCAGCCTCTGGTTTGTGCCGAGCAGAGCGCAAAGCCCTGGGGACGTGCCCCGAGCCCTCTGACCTCCCGGCCCGCTCAGCCTTCCCTGGCGGGGCGCGCAGCTTTCCTGCAGCTGCCTCTGCACTTGGAACGGCTCCTCGCCTTGTCAGAGGAGCAGGGGGGGTCGCGGCCAGCCAGCAGCCCCCTGGGGCGCGAGCACATTCTTCCCAGAGCTGTGGTGGCCTGCAAGCCTGCCGGGCCAGCCCTCTGCTTCCGTGGCCCTTTTTGTTTCCAGAAGGGGGCAAAGAGATTGACGGAGTGGAGCATGGTGAGCGGGTCGATTCTTTGGGCTGAGGGCATTCAGCTCTTCTAAGTGCCATGGCTCTGGCTGTTTGTGTAGTGACGGTCCTGGCGTTTGGGGCTGCCCTTTAGGCACTCTTCCAGCCAGCGTTTCTCCTGCCACCTGCATTCTGACAAACCAGTCTAGCCTTTATGCATCTGGGCAGGAACAACCATCCCACCCCCCACCCCCCGCCAGTTGATGCGTCAGCCCTGTTTTTGGAAGGTGAAGCCCCGGGAGCTCCCAAAATCCCTGCCTGCCCGTGCCGGCTGCGCGTGCGGAAGGGTTGTGAACGTGCAGCTTGCTCGCCTGCCTGCTTCCAGAGGGGTGGCTGAGTTCATCCGGAGCAGCAGCTGCAGAGTGCTGTGGCACCTTCAAGAGCGACCCTGGTCTTCCGGCCCCAGCGCAAACGCCATCGCGCATGCGCCAGCCTCCCACAATAGAGGGGGAGAGCAATGCTTCCAGCGCCGAGTCTTCGGACTTGCGTGTTATATGGGGCTCTGCGCTGAAAGCATACCTGCCCCCAAACTCACATCCTCGGTCTCGCTTGGGGGTCCTGTTTGGCATCTGGGCAGGGGGTCTTGCCTCGTTTTCTGAAGCATCCGTACCTTCCCCATTGACTACAATAACCTTTTTCCTCTGCTTGGTAGTTGGGTGAAGCTTGCAGGCACAGTTACTCTGTTTGTGCGAATGAAGCATGCAGAATTTCTGAGAAATAGCCACAGCACCCTTAACCCTTTATGAATTCAGGCTCTAAAAAAATCAGAGGAGGTGGGATCCCCCTTTTACAAGGGCTGCCGCTGGTCTTGGTGCAAAACCGTCTGGAAAGAAAAGGGAAGGATGGGCCCCACCTCAGATTTTCCCCGACAGGTTAATTTAGGCAGATTTCAGATGGTGGCTCGACTAAGATTCATTGAACTGGGCAAGGTCCCTCATGCTGTTCTATAATCTCTATTTCAGGAGATGAGTTCTCCTTGATTCAGCAAGAAATCTATATGGTTAAGGAATGCAAGCACTGCAATATCGTAGCATACTTTGGAAGCTATCTCAGGTAAGGCCACTTGGCATTCCATTTTTTATGTAAATATATTTTCTCTGCCAGCTTCCTGGAGGGACCTCAAGCCATCTGTACATGTACCTAGAAGCATGTGGCTATCCCAGCCCCTAAGAGGCTGGGTTTGCTCTTCATTGCAAGATGCAGGGCTGCGAAAGTTTAATGTGGGCAGCGGAAGCGTTTGCTCGACTGTGATGTGCGTTGCTCCCTAGACTTGAGGCAGCATAGTTTCCATTCCTCTGGAATTTTGCACTGTATTAGCCAGATCTCTGGGAATAGTCTCACTGGATTCGATCATTTTCCTGGTATGTGCGTTTTCAGAGCATCTGATGATTTGGCCGCTCAGAAGGCTGCAGCTTCCTGTAAGCGTTCCAAGCAAGTGGTATCAAATTCTTGGAGTACCCCAAGAAAAATCATGGGGTGTGTGTGGGGGGTGGTAATGCTCCTGTCAGGGTGAGCACCATTTAAGTGTCCATGGACACATTTAGCAATTTAAGGAACCATCCCGGATGTCACCACAAAGTGATTCCAGCTGCCAGCAAGAAGTGTTGCTATTAAAATGAATGAATGACTGAATGGGTGGATGAACGTGGGAAGGGGTGCAGCACTTGGAGGGGACCCCAAGAAAGGTTCCCAGGGTGGCCCGCCTGGCTTATAGGCTGGGTTGCATTTGCAAAGATGTCAGGCCTTTCGCCTGCTCTGGGCTTTGAGCTGACCTCATTTCCCACGCCTATAAAACGGGAGTGATGGTGCTGAGCTTTAGGGATAGGATGCTGCTCCAAGCTGTAGGAGTAGGATGGCCTTGGAATCACAGCCTAGTCCAAGTAAACGGATCCGAATTTAGTCTCAGCATCAGAAAGTAAGCTGGGTCATTTCTGCTTCATTTCACAGCCGCGAGAAGCTGTGGATTTGCATGGAGTACTGTGGAGGCGGTTCCCTTCAAGACATCTACCATGGTACCTGGAGACTAACCCGGGCCCCGTCCTCCCAGTCCGAGTCCTGCCCAGCACCGCATGTTGCCCATCTCTGCAGCCTCAGGCTCGCTCTGGCCTCCTGTCATGTCAGGCGCAGCCAGTCAGGGGCTGAAGCATCGCGTGGCCCCACACAACCCTTACCGAAAAGTGTGGGGACGCCGTCGTTATCGGCCCAGTAAACTGTCGTAATGTAGACCATATAGAAGCTTTGATAAGTTCGCAATACCGCTGCTCATATTTTGAACAGGATGAGCAGCATCCATTTTATTACTGCCTTCATCTAAGTTTTGGAGCACAATTCAAAAAGCTCGTTTTGATCTATAAAAATTCTGGACCAGGGATAGCTTGGGAGCAGCTTCACCTGTACGCGCCCCACCCCCTTTCTCGGTTCGCTTGTTTGTCTGCTTGCAACATGTGTTTTTCGCTTCACATCTACACAAATTCCAGAGCACTGAATATTAAGAGATTAAAAAGAATAAAACACCATGCTATTTTTAAAACGCCAATAAAAAGTGTTCCTGATCATTCAAGGGAGGTTTCTTCAAATAAAGAGATTTTCTTCATTAATTTAATGAAGAAATTAAATCGTTTTGCTGCATTTCACAATTGTATAGAGGCATAGAAATGAAATACATGGCACGCAGGTGTTGGTTCCCAGCTGACCTCCAGAGGCAGGCAGCTCTGGAGAAGGGAAGGGCATCGGAGGGGTCGCCCTGATAATCCGCAGTGGTCTCTCCCAAAGGTGCAGCTAGATTCCCTCCTAATTGCCTTTTAAAAGCAGACAAATATGCTCTTGGTCTGAAAAGTCCGTCTCGCATTGAAGGCGACCCAGCTGCTCTGCAGTCGTGTTGTTCTGTGGCTTAATTTCCTGGGCAACCTGGTGCTGCGGTCCCAGTTCTGCCCCCAGGCCACTGTGCTCACTTCGGCAGACTTGCCGTAGAAAGAGCCAGCTGTCACGGGAGCCGCGATAGAAGAGCACTGCCACGAGCCAGACGGGCAGGTGGCAGAGCAGAGCAGAGGTCTTGCTGGGGCTTGCCTGCATGTTTCCAACTTGGGGCCTACAGCTTGTAGGAGAGGTGCCAGGCCGATGTCTCTGAAGACAACTTTTGCAGCTGGGGCACCAGTGCAGAGAAGGCCCCGTCTCCCGTGACCATGGAAGGTGAGGGTGCCCAATGCAGAAGGTCTGGGTGACTGGGCAGGGGCACACGGGAGAAGGCAGTCCTCCAAGGAGAACCTCCATGGAGAGAGGCAGCGAAACTCGGAATCAGCCGACGGGAGCAAAGGGCAGGCGGTGACCATCGTCTTTCCAATCTGCCGCTTCCCAGGCCTGGAACACGCAGTCCTGCCGTAACCTGGACACAGCTTTCCCCTTGTCCCTTTCTTTGCATTCTGCTGCAAGTGTCAGCATGTGTAAATTCTCTCTTCTCTTCAGTAACAGGGCCACTGTCAGAGCTACAAATTGCCTACGTTTGCAGAGAGACCTTGCAGGTAAGATACCACGCGTGTCCCCGAGTCAGCATTCATGCGAGGATGGCTGCTCTTTCCATAGGGAGGACTGCGAGCTCAAAGTACCCCAGAATAAGCCAGAAGACTAAGTGCACCCTTAGGCTTAGACGCTCTGAAATATCATGGTCTGGGCAATTTAATGGGTCAGCTCTTGATCTTTTCCTCCTTTATGTCGTAATTCAGCCTGCACGCATACTGTTGGTTGTTAAATAGATGTAGAATTCATAGAATATTTTGAATGTTCACTGGGCATTTTCCCAGGAATCCTTAGTAAGGTAAGGCCGTCGTTTCTTACTCCTGTCCTGCAGGGGAAGGGGGGGTGGGGTCTTAGGCTGAGGCCCTCCAAAAAGTGCATGGCTGCCCGCTTGGCTACAAGACTATGCTGGTGACCGTGCTGGCTGGGGATTGTGGGAGCAGTAGTCCAACATGTCCAGAAAGCGGCGGGAGGGGGAAAGTTGGCCTAAGCTAGGAGTGCGCAAGATTGTCAGCTCCAAAACGGTTAGGTGTCTGCGGGGATGTCAAGAGGACACCCACATGCACACGCCCCAGCAGTAGCCAACGCCTCTCCCAGGCAAGGTCCTGCAGTAACACTTGCTCCGCATCATCACTTCCCGTTCCTGTTCCAGCCCAATGGCCCGAAAAAAGAGGGAGCTCTTCAGATGGGCGGCCCGTGTCAGGCTGGTCGGGAAGGGCCTTTGCAGCGCCCTGTAGCCGCCGTGATGGGCCTCGGAGCACGGGATGCACGGGCTCATGCGTGGCTCTGGTGACTTCCAGAGGAGGTTCAGGGTGGGGAGAGGATGGCCAGTGGCTATTGCAGCGCAACCCTGCGATTTCTGCCCGGGAGCCAGTCCCACTGAATTCAGAGGGACCTGCTCGCAGCTGAGTGGGAGACATGGAGCTGCGCCTGATCGTGATGGCTGACAAGGATAGGACGGTGCACCGGTACCCCTCTGCCGGCAGAGATCCGGTGGAGCCCCCACCCCACATCCTAGGTGGGTGGAAAGCTGCCTCTGCCGGATCCTCTGCCGACAGGCGCCTCATCAGAACGCGAGAACACCCTCACTGCACCAGATGCGTGGCCCCTCCAGGCCTGCGCTCCGTTGACAGGGTGGGCAGCCGGCTGCCCACGGGACCCTCCCACGGGACGGGCGCACGAGCTCCTCCTGCGCAAGCATGCTGCCTCTGGCAACGGGGGCAGTGCCGAGCCAGCACAGCTGCTTCTCCTCCGGGAGTTGGTCCAGTGCCCGTTAAAGCCACCCAGATCGGTGGCCGTTCCTGCTTCCTGTGCTAGCAAATTCCGTACTTTAACTCTGCGCCCCGTTTGAACCCCTAGTCGTCATTCCAGCAGTGCTGATTCACAGCAGCTTCAAAAGATCGTAATAAGGAAGGCGGGGACAATTGGCTCTGACAGGGAGCCATTTTACACCCAGGCGTTAACGAGAAGGTCGGACCGATGGCCAGACGGCTCTTCTCGTGCTGCATTAGTACGGAGCGTCACTGCGAGTGAGGCATGTTGATGCCAGCCTTCCCCGACCCAGTGCTCTCCGGTTGTGTTGGAACGCCTTCCCATAGCCGCTCAGCCTGTGGCTGGGAGATGATGGTCACTGTAGTCCGACACACCTGGTGGGCTCCAGGTGGGAGAATACTGGTCTACACATCCCAGCAAAGGAGACCCTCTGAATAGATTGCGGAGTGAATCACTTTGGGCTGCAGGTGGGGAAAGCTGGTAGTTGGCGTGAAGTTTGGCCTTGAGGGCGATGCTTCTTGACACAGGAGGAGCATCGGCAGCAGAGGACCTGTAATAAGCATGACACTTGAGCTCTCCCATTGCAGTGGTAACCGAGAGGAGGCCACTCATGCGCAGATACTTGGGCTGTGCTGTGCTCCCTGCTTGGCAGTGCCTGAAGGCCACTCACAGGGTGTCCGTAGAGTCACGGATGGCCCGTTTTTGTAAAGCTCTTCCTTGAGTGTGACAGCGGGTCCTTCTAGGTTAAAGGCGCCCTTTCCCCAGAACATTTTGAATATTTTTCTCTGCTGCCTTCCAGGATGGCTTAATTGGACCACATGTCCACAAAACAGATTTAACTAAGGCATGTCTTTCATTTATGTCCCTTTTTTCTGTCAAAAAAGGGCACTCCAGTCAGCTTGCAGAAATGGTTAGGATGGAGAAATGGGCGACAAACCAAAAGGGGAGAAACATAGTGGCATCTGTGAAGTTAAGAGATGGGTTGGATTCCCGGAGCTGAGCCTGGAGACGGTGCTCCGCCTGACCTCGGAGCCGGGAATTGCCCCTCTGCTGCTTCCCTGCCCCCTTTCGGCCAGTGCAGAAAGACCTGCACCAGAGTCAGGCCAGCCCCCTTCAGGCTTCCTCCTGACCCCTTTCCAGACTCCTTCCCTCCACCCTGGAGATGCTCTGGATTTTTGCTCCAGCAGAAGGACCAGCAGGAAAAGCAGGGCAGGAGAAAAGAGGTGAAGATTCCGCCCCCCCACCAATTACAATACAATACAAACTGCTGAGATCAAAAACTCTGCATCTATTATGCCTTAGGCTACAAACCTGGATGCTTTTCTGAGAGCAGCTCTGTAGCAACTGTACAAGGAGTCCATATATTTTCTCGATCTGGAGTATAATGCCAGTTTTCCTTGGCAACCGTGCTCAGGGAATGGAAAAACGATGCTTTCCCTTGTGCCAAGACACACACACATGCATTTCAGAAAGCATCTTGCCATTGCCCTGCTTGACCGGCATCCTTCCCAAGGCAGATTTGCTTTGCCTGTGGAACCCACGGGCTTCCCTTTTATTTTATAGGGTATTTTAAAAATTGCATCTTCATGCTCACTGCTTCTTCTCCCCTCCCGCTTTTAGGGGCTTGCTTATTTGCACATGAAAGGCAAAATGCATCGGGACATTAAGGTAGGTGATTCATTTTTGCCCTGTAGAATAATCGTCTCTGTGGCGAAGGCAAGCGAATGTAAGATCAGATGCTGGAGAAGTTTGTTCTGCAGTTTTAAGCAAGCTGACGTAATTCACACTTTCTGCAGATTGGAGCACAGTTGTCCTTCAAATTCTGCAGTTCTCCTCATGTTGGGATGCTGTTCTTGCTCAGAACTTTCATACAAAAAGGCAGATATTGAGCCAAGTTGCATTTCTCGAAGTGGATTTTAGAGAAAGTTCTGTGCAAACATGAGTTTTCACACCATTTCTATATTAAATGCTTCTGTATAGCCTGAAATGCCTGACCTTGCCTAATTTTGGAAGCTAAGCAGAGTTGGGCCTGATTGAAATCTGGGTGGGTAATGCAAGTGTTGTGAGCCTCCCGGAGAACTTCAGCTGTGGGCAGTATAGAAATCTAATGTAGCAGTAGTAGTAATCATTATAAAGCAATAACCCAGAATGATGCAGAAATAGTACAGATTGAACCTTTGCTTGAATACATGCGAAGCTGACACAGAGTTACATGTGGACAGAATCCCACATCTCTCACCACGAGCGTTTGCAATCTCCTTGCTTTCTAGGGTGCCAATATTCTGCTGACGGATCACGGGGACATCAAGTTAGGTAACCGAGCTGGCCCTCCTGAAACTTCATTAGGAGCGAAGAGAGACGGGAGACCCGCGGAGCGGCAGGGCCTGTTGGGTGGCCTCTGGCTCCATGCAGGGCCAGCGTAACGTTTCTTCTCCAGACCGAGCACCGTGTGCCGCAACAGCAGAACAGGGGTGGCGTCAGTGGGCTAATATGCAGAGCTTCACCAGGCAGGGCCCTCCCAAGCCCCTGGAGCACTTAAGGAAATGTAAACGTGAAGGCGAAGGATCGACACCCAAGCAGACAATGTGCTTCCAGGGGGCAGGAGAGCAGTGCCAGTGCACGGAGGCTGCACGGAGCCCCCAGGCCTTCCCCGGGTCTGGGCCAGGGAAGAGGTTGGAGGCTTGTGCTCACTGGTCATGTTTATGCTCCACCTTCAGGAATGCCTCTGACGAGAGGCGCCTTAGAAGTACCCTCACAGGGCAGACAGTTAAGAGCCCCCGAAGGATAAGTGACAGATGGAGCAGTATGAGAAATGCAGAGTGAAAGACAGCACAGCGAGAAACAAGACAGCACACCAGCTTAAAGTCCCTCACAAAAGGCCCCCCGGTAAAAATGCTTTCAAAGCAAGCTTACTGGCTTTTTCCCCAGGACGGAAGCCACCGTCGGGGTATCACTGCAGAAAATGCCCCTTGCCAGTGTGGTGCCTGCCCGTTGGTACCAGACCTGCTTCCAAGGGGGAAAGGATGCCCTGAGACGAGGATCTTGCTTGCAAGGCAGTGCCTCTTCCTGGCTCAGTGCAGCCTTGGGGAAGGTCACAGCTTGCTCGAGACTGGCCTTCCTGCAAAGGTGCCCCCCAGGTGCTTTGACCTGCGTACCCCGTCACTCTTCTGCCCCAGCCAAGAATCCAGGGCTTGATGGTGTTTTCTTTGGTTTCTGTGTAAAATGGAGTGTCGGCGTCTAGAAACATCTTCAGTTCTTTCTTCCGCAGCTGACTTTGGTGTAGCAGCAAAAATAACAGCCACCATTGCAAAGAGGAAGTCGTTCATTGGCACTCCATACTGGTAATAAATTCCTTGGGATTATTTCGGCGAGGGCCTGTGACCTCGGGGGAGGGTTTGCAGGCAGTGTGATAAGGATTCTGAAGCAGAAGCATCGTAGCTAAGGATGCAGTGAGTTCACAGCAGCAGAGCTAAGGCCCCTGAATCCTTTGACTATTCTGCTGAACTCATTTTGTTCACCGGCCTGCCTCACAAGGTGTGCCTGCTCAGGTGAGCAAGGTAATATGTGACTGGAAGCTCAGAGACCTGTGGAGCAACATCATTCACAGTGTGCAAGACATATTTCGCTATGGCGCACACCCTTGCTTTCCTGGCTCACAGCACACAACCATTCACACTTTTAGGCAGCTGTTAAATGCAAAGGAAGTAGCTCAAAACCACCTGCCAGTGTTACTTTTGACAAACCCGTGCCCTGCAAAACGTTTTTGCACAGCTTACCCTCTTCTGCAGAATGCTGCCTTTCTTTTTCTTCCTTTTATCTGCAACATCAGAAGCAAGTTTTAATTTGCACGGTGTGCAGATGAGTACTCCATTTATTTTGTACTCCAGTGTGTGTTTCAGCTGAGTCTGATGAGACTTCCTTTAAGGAACCTCAGTAATTATAGAGCGCGTGTATCAGCGTTCTCAGAGCCGCTTCTGAACTGCAACCCATAACAGGGAACGCAATGGCAGCTGAGTTGATAGCAAGGGAATTGAGTTCAGGCCCGTGCGGTTTGTGAAATGCCAGTTATAGATGGCACCCTCATCAGGACTTAGGTGAGTCTTCTGCTTTTGCTTTCTGCCTGAGTTTTAACGAGCTTGCCCTGTACATGTCAGGCCAGAGCACCACCTGGCTCCCATGTAACATCCATGATTTATTTAGCCTATTCTGGGTTGTTGTGATGTATGAACACAGCTGTGCTAATAACCATGGTCACGATCAACCCAGAAACAAAACATGGCTAGTTGGGTGTGACTCTTCAGCCATTTATAATAAAAGCCAGCATAATTCTTATAATGCAAGCCCTGAGCCATGGGCTCTTGCTTCAAGCCACAGAGGCAGTGGGCAGGAGAGGAGAAAATTAAACCAAAAAACACTAGGGCTGTTCCGCAGCACTGCAAAAACATTTGAGATACAGGAAGCAATGGGTGAAAGATCTGCTAGACCAACCATGGATGGGGCAACAAATCATGGTTTAAATAAACTGGGTTAGCATGTGTAACCTGGGTTTATAATGTAACCTGGTGGCTGCATGGGTCATGCAGAGATGGTTTAGTTCATAGGCCCCACGCCCTCCAAACCTACGGCATTTCTTGTCTGATCACACCACTGTTCTCTCCACTCAGGATGGCCCCGGAGGTTGCTGCTGTGGAAAAGAACGGTGGCTACAACCAACTGTGCGACATCTGGGCCGTGGGCATCACAGCCATCGAGCTCGGGGAACTGCAGCCACCCATGTTTGAGCTTCACCCCATGAGGTCCGTGGGCAGTAAGGTCCCCCCCCCCACCTCAACTGCAGGTGCTTCAGCAGGACACCAAGACACTGGCAAATAGCATCTCTAACCTGGTGGGGGCTTTTCCTTGCATTTCAGAGCCCTCTTCTTAATGTCCAAAAGCAACTTCCAACCTCCAAAGCTAAAGGAAAAGACGAAATGGTGAGTCTGAGCGTCTCCTCCGTTTCCCGAGGGGCTTGTCCTGGAGGGTGATCGAACCCTATCAAAGGCTTGGGTAGCTGGAAGAACTTCGGGAAAAGCCCTCGATGGCTGATACAACCTGTGGAGATGGGGCAGAGTAATGGCAGGGAAGAGCTGCCATGGGGAATGTCAGGTCCTGGGGCCGGAGGTGGCCCTCAGGGGCTGTCTAGAGGGTCCTGAGGCTTCCCCAACTCTTCAATCATCTGTTGCTTTCCCAGAATGGTGCATCTTCCCCCATTTCTAAAAGGTGTACACAGTTCTCCCGAGTCTTAAATATTGGTTGTAAGAGCATTAAGCTACAATTTCCCGGGGTTTTTGTTTGCATCTGAGGGGTTTTTTTGGTGGGGGTAATTTTGGCCTCAGCCCTGGCCCCCAAAAGAATACAGAGCTGCTCTCGTATCCTTGCTCCTGTGCCATGGAATCCTTTAGATGCACAGAAGTAGGAATCCTGATGCAGCGTACCCGGAGGGCAGGTCAGCCAGCTAATCTTTGGCTCTCAGCCTCTCTTACAGCTCTGGTGGTCCAGGTCACCATTTGGGTGCCTCCTCTTCCCAGCCCTTCCTTAGGATGTGCGCAAACTCCCGTTAATGATGGGCACGTTCTCCTTTTTCTGGCTGACAAGGCAGCAGGGCGGGCAGAGGGCAGGCGTTCTGAGGGGCAGTAAGAGCAGTTCAGTAGGCCGGCAGGACTCGGTTCCAGCAGCCCCAGCTGCATTTTATCAAATGGTGCTTATTGGAAGTCACAATGAGAACCTTAATCCGAACCAGACATAATTGCCTTTGGGTACGTCGTTCCTTGCCACATTTTCTCTTTCTCCAAGTTGTGAGAGTTCCAGGCTTTTCTCGCACACCGTGGGGTTGCTCCCCGTCTCTGCGTTTCCCTAACCGGCTGCTCAGCAGCGGTTCTGCTGCGATTGCAGTTTGACACATTTTCCAGTGCCCAAATCATTCAACCACATTCTTCCCGTACATACGTTTTTGCCCTTTGCATTATATTTTCATTGACTTCCTGCTTTTCTTTTTTGGAAAAAAAGTGAAAAGCATAAAATATTTTTGCAACTCGAACCTTTTTTAATGCACTTAAAGCAGAATACCAGGCCTGCTGATGAGAGACTAAAGGTCTGTATGGCGCCACGGGGGAACATATCAAAGGTCCATTCAGCACGTCACTTCAAGTGGCATTCCCCAACCTGGCGCCCTCCACATCTGTTGAACTAATTCCCATCATCTCCAGCCAAGCCAGAGGACTTGCAAGGATTTTCATCAGAAGAACTGCAGTTTTAAAGTGCATAGACTTGGAATTGTTGTAATCCATCCTGAGACGTCTGTGATGGGACAGTGTAGAAAAGTTTTAAATGAACAAACAAACAAATTGTTAGATCATTACTCCAATAAGGTGTTCGGACTGACCATTATATACAAGAAATTATCACAGTTCAGATTAATCAGTATATTTTGGGCACTGCCTGCTTTCAGTCATTCCTGGGCACTGTGGTTTGGTGGTTAAGAGGCAATTTGGGTTCTATTCTCCACTCAGCCATGGAGCCAACTGGGTGTCTTTGGGCCTGTCATGGACTCAGCCCAGCCTACCTCACAGGGTTGTTGTGGAGATAAGATGAAGAGGAGGAAGAGGAAAATGATGTAAGCGGTCTTGAGTTCTTTGTAAGAAAAAAGGCAGGCTAGAAAACAATTGAACAAGCAAACACACTCTTTGATGGTCTCATGCCTTAGCTAAACATCCACAGTTTTATCTCTTAATGTACTAGGTGTCAGTGTTTTTGCAGACTGAAGTCAGTTTGAGACTTGGGCTGGCTGTCAGCATTAGCCCTGCATAGAGTAGACCCACTGAAATGAACGAAACTTCATTTGCTTTTGACTCACCGGAGTCCCATTTAGTTCAGTAGGTCCACTTTAAGCAGGACTAGCACCAAATACTTCCCTTCGCTCAGTTAACTGATCTGACCAAATGTTTCTTTCTTTTAATAACACAGAGCTGAATATTTTTAATCATCGTGCATTTGCTGTGTATTATGATAGTGGCATTTTTCATTTACTTTAAAGGTCATCAACATTCCATAATTTTGTCAAAGTAGCACTTACCAAAAATCCAAAGAAGAGGCCAACCGCGGAAAGACTTCTGACAGTAAGCGCATTTCTTATTCTTTAGAAGTTAAACTTCCGGTCCTGTTCCATCTGCACTTGCTACCAATTGAAGTCCAGGCCCAATTTAAGGTGCAGTCTACAACATATAAAACTCTAAACAGTTTAGGGCTTGGGTATCCAAAGGAGCATCTTCTTCCGTATACACCTGCCTTACTTCTAAGATCTTCATCTGAGGTCCTTCTTTGGGAGCCCTCTTGGATGTGGTAGCGCCCCAACTTTAGAACCTGCCTCCCTGGGAAGTGTGTCTGGTGTGACACTATTCATTTCAGGGCCAGGCCAAAAAACTTTATGTTCCCCATATTTTAAGGTATAATGTTGTTTTAACAATGTGATTTTATTGCATATCTATCTTCTATTTATGTTGCTTACTATACCGCTGTCCTGAGACCCTTGCTATTGGGCAGGATATAAATGTTTTACATAAATAATAATAATAATAATAATAAATAAGGGGACAAGGCCCTGTACGGCTGCTGGCCATGGTCCCTGCGCGTTGCCTTCAGGCTCGGAGGCAGCGCTTCTTTCTGTCCCGGTGACTGGGGGACGTGAGCAGGAGGTGGGATCATGCAGTTTGGTCACTGTGGGGCCAGAGTATGGGGCTCCCACTCCTCTGGTGCTCTCAGTTAAACTCTCCTCACGGTTAGTGGCATAAATGTTCAGACTTTCAGCTCACCAGGAGGCTCCAAGTGCGTTTGTTTTTCAAGTGCAGTAAATCCTGATGAGTAACAAAGACATTTCAGGCATGTAAAAAGCCTCTTGTTTATACAACAAATACTGCTGGGTTAAAGTTTGGAAGCAGCATTGCCTGCTCTGCTTAGCGCGTCTTCTGCTTCAGGGTCCAAGCACGGCCTTTCTTTGAAAAAGAAACCAGACGATGAACCACAGAAGGGGAATGATCCCTAATTGACCTCTAGTGCCGAGGCGGCCAGTGGGGAGCCGGGCACTGGGTGGGCTTGCGCGGAACAGCGACCCGTGATGGTGACTCGCTGGAGCGGGCTGCCGTTAAGGGCCAAGCCACCATGATGAGCCTGGCAGACGATCGGGCTCCTTGTGGGTGCCTCTCCCCTGCCTCCGTCCCTCTCCTTCCTTGTCCTGGTATCCCGGGAGACACTGCAGGAAGGAGCAAGACTTTGGCAGCCACGATTGCAAGCTGGTTTGGCTTGCTGCCGTCTGTTGACCAAACAATTCTCCGGGAATGGGGCATCCCACCGCAGCCCGTGGTTCACCCATCTGGTTCCTTCCCAGAGTCACTCCCTCCTGGCTAAGGGCGATTCTGGGCAGCCACCAGCCATCTCTCTGGGCCCCCACATACCTCTGGGCGATGGCTGCTCTTGCCAAGCGACTCGTGTGTTCAACAGCTTTCGCCGCAGTGGGTTGTATTGTCTGCGTTTGGATGACACAACAAACAGTCGTGCTAGGGAGAAACCCTAGAACAAGCTGTTGTTTCACGTTGTGGCTCTCAGCCATGCAAAGTCGCAATGACAGATCCCCGCGATTGGGTTAGGAGGAAATGGCAAACCATCAACGGTACCATCAGCGGCATGTGAGGGAGCCTCTGGCTTGTGCGCTCAGCTTTGCTCCGCTGCTGCGAGCATGAAGAAGAGATCGGAAGCGTCTGCTTTATGTCTGACTCCAGACAAGTAGGTTATTCTCAACTGTGGTTTCCTGAAAGAAGCCAGCTTCAAACTGTGATTCAGCCTTAGCTCCAAGTAAGGCCATTGCATAAGGCAGGGTCATTCTGGCCTGGTGCCAAGGACACCTAAACTGTGGTTTATATAACAGTCTGGTCACACCAGAGGACTGCATAACGTGCCTGTTATGGTGGGGTGCATACACGCTCCATTCACCCCCCCCCCCCCCCCC